AAATCTAGTTCTCTAAATACATTTGCTAGCTGTTTGTTACCTTTAAGTTTTCACTTGTCTCTACTAAAAGATTTGGTTGAAACCAAATCTGCTATTAAGCAACCTGGAAGGTATCTGTGAAGGTAGCCCACAGCAAAACACCTGCCAGTTGTTTCTCAGATCACTTAATTGTATACTAAAGTCTGTATCCTTCAGCAACACTAGCTGTTCAAATCCTAAACTCTCAAAAACAGACTAATGAGAAAAATAAACTATAAACACTTAAATTCCTTTCATATGTATGTTCTTCCAGCAGTTGTAGGTTTCAATAAAGTACTAGACATTCGCTGTTATGATATGCTTCTCTACTCCCAAAACTGGAGGCTGCACACTGGAAATTCTTTTAGCTGCACTGAAACCAAAATTTAATCATGGATCAGGTTCTTGGTATTTATGAGTAGTTACTTGCTTGGTTCTGACACTTTCAAAATTCTCCACACTGATAAACATGTAGGAAATGCTGGGAAAAAATTCCTGAAATAGTTCTTCCTAATATGTTGTTCTTTACCAACATTATTTTTGAAACTTTTGACAGTAAGCCCAAGCCCCTATGCTTGAGTTCTGTAATCCTAAAAGGACACATCATTCAAGAGGTGGGAGTTTCAAATATTTTAAGCATACAAGTGTCCTACTAGGGGCCTATCCCATCATCTTAGACACTTTTAACAGTTATTTACCCTTCTTACTCTATAACCACAAGTCCCACAGCTAACTTGATTAAGGACAAAAAAACAAGGAGAAACACAACTCACTCACAGCTCCTCCTCTGATGGGTAAGAACATCTACCACACATTGCTCTATGTTTACTTGATGGCAGCGTTTAACAGTTAAGCCTGGAACTAGTCTCACCCAGACGATTAGGAGGTGTGGTATCCAGAGTTCTCAGTTTCAATTTAATAATTTTGATGTCATCACCCTTTGAGTCCTGGAAGCCTTCTCAGAAATTGTGTGGTTACTTATGAGTCTCTTTCTGGACTTAACTGCTCCTAGCGAATTACAGTCCACTTTTAATCTAATTTGTGAAGCTCCTGTAAATGTAAGGGTCTATCTACCCAGGTGATCTCCGTAGAAACTTTACAGAATTTGGACTCTAGTCATACCCCCTTTTCCAACCTGGCTGTAGGGATACTCAAGTTTCCATACAGTATACAAATAGTTAATAGATGAAGATAGCTGAAGATATACAATTTCAAAAGCTAACAGATCAGATAATAGGGAATGCAGATCTTCTGGACAAAGTTCAGACTTAGAGCATTTAGAGGCATTTTTCAATTCTAAACAACCATTAGTACAATGGAGTACTAAAAGCACTTACTGCCATTTTACCAATTCAGATGTCTGTGGCAACATAAAGTATTTTTACAGCATTGCTGAAGCTCACTCTCACACGAGGGTCACACCAGGTCCCTGCTTCTTGGGTGAAATTCTGTAGAACCACTACAGGAATCACTCTCTGAGGATTCCTAGGATCCCCACACTTCTACATGAAGCCTTCTAAGGGGGTACTGGGTTTTCCCAACTTGTTCTCTGGGGGAGAGACAGAGTAAAATAACAACCACGGCCAGCCTTCAGTTAAGTGATTTATTTAAAAAATATAACTTCTGGGTAGGCTTTTATTTGACTACCATCATCAAACCAAAAGTTTTAATTTTATCTTCCATCTCTTTCAACTGCAAGGCTTTTTAACCCTGCCCAAGCTTTCCTTGTTCTGGGGCTGGCAAGAAACAAAACAGAAATGTTATTTCATCACCCAGGGTAGTAGGATATGGCACCATGAAATCTCCAGCGCCAGAGGGTAAAAGATTTTGTACTGAACAAATTAGCATCGGTGAGTCATATCTTGAATGTCCTGTTAGAAGAATCATCCATCAAACATTTTAATAGCTATAGCTTTCACTTTCCACCAAGTTATCTGGAAAGCAAGCAGGTATTAAATTGTTTTAAAATATAAAGTCAACAGGATGCTCCAGGAAACAAACAAGATAATTTAACTCCACATCCCCAGTGAAAATTACGTAAAACCAGAACTGATTAAGTCTATTCATACCTTTCCACAGAAAAGACTGAAATATTCTCTTTACCCATTCAACTGTTCTCGGCTCTAAATTTTAAGTTTTCCAACAAATTTCACTGCACACATTGCCAAGCCCAGGATCAAATATTTGTTTTCACACTTCTCCATCAGGTGGAAAAAAAGATTTTAATAGCTGAAAAAAATTAAATAATATAAAATCCAATTAAAAAGTTGATCAATAAACGCTTGGCATTTGCTTTATCCAGGGGAAAAAATAACTTTTAAAAAAGTATTTCAAAAGATTTTCCAACAGCTTTCCAAAGATGTGTTATGGGTTTTTGCTTTACATGAAGAACTTTTTTTTTTCCAATCTCTATAGACACCATGTTTAATATGGTTTTTAATCACATGAAAATCACTTCAGTGGCCCATCAATTTTAAAAACGACCCATATTTTAAAACGACCATTTAAGCTTTTTTCTGGGGAAGGTATTTGCCACCTTTAAACCAACCTGGATGCATGCATTTCTTTTCCAATGCATTTTTAATAACTACTTAAAGATCAAATTGCCCAGATTTGGAAAAAAATATGTCTTAAAACAACAGGCCAGTCTATATAGTAAGTAATTTCTGAGTTATCCAATTCCCTGTATTAACTCTACTGGAATGAATCCAGTTGCTGGGAGGATAATTTTTGAAAATTCTGCATCCGTTCCTGTTAATTCCAAAAGGCATCAAGTGCCCCAGCTACGCGTTTGGGATTTCATGAAGCATTCGAAGAAGGAAAATAGCTCAGAGAGGCGGGAAGAACGCACTTAAAAGTGACGAGCTTCTTAACCTCCTCCGGTGCCGAAGTTTCCCCGTGAGCTCATCGCTACTGCCCACTAAATGCTTCGTTTGCAAATAGAAACGAGGTAGAAAAAAAAAAAATAAGCTCCAGTCTACATCTGCCAAAGAGGGGTCCCCCATCTAAAGTGGGCGGGAAAGAGAATTGCCAAAACAGATCGGCTACAGTCACTTTTAAGTTTCTTGCAAAAAAGCTAAGACCAACATCCCAGAGAGTGACTCATCTGGGGGCTTTGTAAGCGGACTTTGTTTGCTCTCTCCACTTGGTTGGAGGAAACGTTCGAGGTGGGCCGAGAAAGAAAAGCGCTTCGGGAGAAGGTCGGGCCTCCAGGAGTCCCGGCCCCCACCACTCCCCCCGCCCCAGGCCGGCCCGGCTGGGGGATTCCCCGGGCTGAATGGGACGGCGGGAGAGCTGGACAGAGGGAGAAGGTGTCAGCTGCCAAGGCTCGGCTGAGGCTTGGGAAAGAAAAAATGTAAATGCAGTGAAAAAGTTTGGGGAGGGGATACACACACACACAACATCCTCCCCCACAACTGGGCAAACACGAGGGGGGGGCGGTGAGGGGGAGTGGCGGGGAACCAGGGATACCCGCTATTCGCGGGGACACGGGAGGGGGTCAGAAAGTCAACACACGCGCGCACACACACACACAAAAAGAGGAGAGGAAGGTAAAAAGAGAGCAAGCGAAAGACGGATGAAGTCGGGGGGGAGAAGACTCAGAGCAGGACCTGGGGACCTCCTCACCCCACAGTGCGGGACCGGGCCAGCACGCAGTGGCCCAGCAGCCCGCGCTATCCCGCGGCCCGGCGCCCTCCTTTCTCTGGGCCGCGAGGTGGTGACAGCGACCGGCCTCCTCCCTTCCCCTTCGGGGCGGGAGGGAAGGGTGTGTGTGAGTGCGTGTGTGTGCGTGTGTGTGCTGGGGGGCCCCCGGGTTCACCCCGAGGCCTGCTCTCTCCCCCGCACCCCGTGAGGCCGCCTCCTTTCACCTCAGCAGCCCCGCTCCGCCGGGGCGGGCGGGCAGGCGGAAAAACAAAGGGGGATTAAGGCCGGGCCGGAGAGCGGAGCCGGGAGGGAGGGGAGGAGCGCCCGCCCGCCCGCCAGCCCGGGGCCCGGCCCCCCTGTCCCCCCCGTGCCCCCCCGGGGGGGCCCCCAGTACCTGGAACAGGAACGCGGTCCAGTTGGCCTCCATGGCTGCGGCGGCCGACCCCCCTCCTCCCCACTCCCCCCGCTAGGGGAGCCTCCTCAGCCGGAGGAGGCGACAACAAAGCGGCGGCGGCGGCGGCGGCGGCAGCGGCAGCGGCGGCTCCTCAACATGGCAGCGCCGAGCGCGGCCACTTCCGGTAACCTCCGGGACGCACCACCGCGGCGGCGAGCGCGGGCGGGGGGGGAGCCCCGGCCCGGTCGCCGCCGCCCCCAGTCGCCCGGACCCCCTCTGGGCGTCCCCGCTGCCGGCTCGCCGCCTCGGAGCTCAGCCAGTGCCCGCCGGCGGTGGGGTCAGGGCCCCCGCGGGGGGGCTGGGGTGGGGCCCGGGGCGGGGATGGGGCGCGGCGTCCCCCCCCGCGGGGGTGTGTGGTGCTGCGGTCCGTGGCTCAGGCAGCTGGAGCAGGGGGAGCTCAGGAGAGAAGATGGAGGACGCCAGGGTCTGGCGCGGGCCCGCTCGGCACAGCTGGGCCGTCTCTCGTGACTCAGACACAGAGTCCAGCAGCGTCGCGTCCCTATTAGACCCTCAGCGGAGGGCAGAGGGCACGGCGGACACCCGGTTGTTCAGTCACTCCTGCACAGCATGGTCCCACCTCCAAATTGGGGGAAGCCCCTTCGACTTCGAGTGTCTCTTCCCTGTGGCATTTCCTCCCCGGCCGGCTATGATATGCATCTCAGGGCGAGACGGCCTTCCAACTCAAGCAGGGAATCCCACTGGGGTGCAGCCTCGGATCCTCCCAGCGTGGAGGGAAACACTTCCCACGCGTAGAGATGTCATTACTGGGTTATTCTTGGGTGAAGGGCTGAGCCTCCCCATCCTCCCCTTCACTCCAGGATAGGATGTGAAATTCTATCCCAACACCCCTCCTCTCCCGCCAAAAATAAAAACAACTGAGATAGTATAGACAAGAAATTATTTTAGTCCTTTAGTACAGTCTGTTTCCTTCTTCACCCCCAGAACAAAAATCGAACTTCTGGTTGGACAGCGTCAGGAGATGTCACTGAGGTGACCCCAGCCTCTGTTTGCAGTTCCAAGTCTTCCTTGTAGGCGTCCCTGCTACTGGAACTTTGTAGATGAGGAGCCTGTATGATGATGTCCTGAACATTTCTATCCTTTCCTCACACAGAGGTAGCTACTGGGAATATCAGAGACAAGCTATTATTAAACAAGCGTCTCTAGTCCAAGACATCGCCTGTGGCAGGGAAATGAGGGGGCAGGCTGTATCAGTGATATTTCTGTAAACTCCGGTTTTAGAAAAAAATTCTTCAGATGGACACATTAAGACTTCAACGTTTTCCAAAACCGGCTGACTCTTATCCCCTCTAGACACTTCTAATCAAGGTCACCATCTCCAAAACTTCCCCCATACATACACAAGAAAAATATGGCTGCAGAATTCTACTGTAATAGAAAACCAAGGAGATAAAGTTATTTGACTGTGTGTTTTCTTTCCATCAACTAGACAAGTATACCCCCTCCCATTCTTTCCTCCCCTCAGTCACCAGAATGAAGGGGCTGGAAAACGTTGGTCTGGTTCCTTTTAGAGCTGATTCCCCATTGGATACTGCCTGGAGGCCTTGGGGATGAATGAGAAGTTCTGCAGTTTGGATCAGTAGCAGAAGCAGGTAACACATCAGAACCGGTCAGCCTAAGACAGGAGGGGACAGAAAATGATGAAAGAGTTTCTGATAAATTTCTCAGCTAAATTGCTATCGGTGACCCCCATGTCTCCTGTAAAGTCCAAACCTAAGGAATTAACTAGACAAATTAAAACCTTTATGTTCTTGCTCTGACTTTGGACAATGCAAGTCCTTTTATTTTCATTAATTGGATAGCAAATCTTCCCTGCCTTAACACACTCAAGGTCTCTGTGATGCACTACTCAGTTTTCCCCCTTCCCTGCATAGTCTCTCCTCCCTAGCTGCTGCCTTTCAAACTGGTAAAAAATGAAGCTTCAGGATTATGAAAACTGGTACTAAGTAAAGACATTATTCTAATGACAGTATCACTGGGCTCTCTTGAACTTATGATGCTGGGATCTAGAAACCCTTTCCCCGGCAATCTTTCACACAGCACCTCTGGGGAGGGGTTTCCCACTGACAGGAAACAGAGGTCAAATGAAAACAGTCCAGTTCTCATTACTGAAGAGTGGAGATTCAGAAGAATCACTTTTCTTGAGGAAAATGGCTAATTCTATTTCTATCCTTAAGACAAAACCAGAACTGATTACTCCTCAGACACCCTGAAAAAGAATTAATCTTTCAAGTTCAGATAAATTTTAAACACTGAGCTATTTTCCAGAAGGAAAATACTCAAAAGTTTGAAACAAGTACTCAAAAACAATCAGTTGCAACTGTTAGAGGAATATAATGAAACCAGTAGATCAAATGCTCCATCCCTACCTAGAAGGGGCTATTTCTACCTTCAGGACAGACAATTTCTCTAACCAAACAAAAAAGGAACCCTCTCCTTAAGTGAGCTTCCACAGACTATATACTGTGGTTTGGTCAAAAGAGAGCAGATGTTCAAACACAGTAAATTCATTCTGATTATTGTAAACAATTTTTAGTGAGTAAATGACATTACCTTCAGCCACGACGAATAAAGTGTCTAAGCCAAAAATACAATGTGCCTACATTCCCCCGAAACAAAAATCAGATCCCCAACTTGCCCTGTTCAGGTTCCTCTCTCCTCCTCCCACACTCCAAGTTGTATAACCTGTCACCTAACCTTTTAGGGCTTTTAGGGTCTCAGCTTCCTCATCTGGAAAATGAGAACAAAATATCTACCTCACAAATGGCCACCTGTGGATTTAATGAGAAATATATGTAAGAGGCTTAGAACATATTCCAGAAATAAAACAGATGTGAAGTAAATATTTTTATTGGTGCTATCCAGTGGTTCTAGATTAACTTTAGGGCTGGGAACTCTGCATATAAGCTCTGAGCCAGTTAATTATTCCTTTTACTGTCTCCAAGTGACAGGTTTTCTCCCATCCGTCTCTCCTTCAAAGAGTCCTAAGGTAACTGGGCAAAGGGATTAATGACACATAACAAAGGAAGATGCCTATCTGTTGTTCTAAACACAACTTTTAGTAAGCATTAGAGAGCAACAGGATATTTCCTTCCTAGTTTGGAGAGAATTTTAAAGTTCTGTGAACACACTGAGGATTTGGATTACAGACATAGAATCCTAGGAAAAGAAGGTATCTCTGCCACTATCAATTACCTGTAATTCTTACCAGGTAAGACTGGTCCATAAACTAAAACCCAAAAACTTTCAGTAGGGAATAGCTAGTTAGAAGCTTCAAACTGGCAAGTTAATGGAAAAACTCTATATGCAAAAAAGCCAGAACTGACAATTAACAAATAGCAAAAATCAAGATTGCAATATTTAGAAATACCGAAAAGAATTGGCCAGAAAAAGTAACTATCAGCCTCAATACAATCAGGAGAAAAAGCAACATATTTTCCCCAAAGTGACACCTCCCATCCCCCCTAAGTACTATAAACTCCTCAGGGAGAAAAGCGGAAGTTATCTCCTCACTGCCCAAACTGGATAACCACACTAAGGGCTTTGAAGTCATTTGCCATTGACCCATGTGGTCAGAAGTCAGGCTTGTTTCAATTCTACCACCTGAAGTGTCACCAGGAGTTATTTTAACTAGCAAGGTGAGGAAGGGGAAACAAAATTTTTTTCCCTGAATACCCATTTAAGTTCCTTGACAACTGGAACAAAGTCATAGAGAGCAAAATGGCAGTATAACAGATCTACCCATTTTCCTAGTAGACACTGAGTTCAACTGGTATTTGAGGGTTTTTAATTAAACCATTCTATTGTTTCTAAGAATATTCACACAATCCAAGACTTCAAAAATGAGTCTAAAGTCACGGAAATATATTTATCACCTTCACGCTTCTTGAAGGACACTGGCAAAAATCAACGCTAAACCAATCAGCTTCATCCAAAAAACATTTGCATAGAAATACTAACCTCCATTTTACAACTCTTTAATGACAGGGAAGAATATCCAACTAATAGAAAGTAAAATAGCATAGACCACAAGAAGGAAAGAAACGAAGACAAGTCAAAAATACACCAAGTAAGAAATTCAATACAACTGGAAAACAGAGGCACCAACATTTCTCCTTTGGACACCTGTTCCTTTCTGCCCTCAGATGCCCCAGGACAGGGCAATAGCTGAGCACGGAAAAAGTAGATAATTTAATAGGTCACACAAACTTGACGGGCCTGCACCAAACCACAAAGATTAGCTCAGTTACAGCATTGTGCTATTAGTCAAAAAATGAACTAAATCCCTACAGTTTCTAGGGTACAGAGGTGAACCTCTTCTCGTTGGATATAGCCTCCACCCCAAATACATTCCCCTAGTTAAGAGGGATGTAACGACACTAAACAGCATTGTTTGGTGTCATGTGTATCCATCTACATCACCAGAAAAAAAAATACTGTTACATGCAACAAAATTTACTAATTGTTAATGCCTGGCCAAAGGTTCTTGTGAAGAACAAGGCAGGGCAAAAACATGTTATCAAGTGAATACTCTATCCTACATTCAGTCATCTGGTCCAGGAATAAAAGCAGGTAAAGGGAACTGGTGGGCTGGTTGTTAAAGCTCTACACACGGACAACAGCTGTACTCAGCATTTACTCTTTACGCTGTGAATAACACATCAAGCTTACCTGCTGCTGTCCACAAATACTACTTAAAGCACTTCACCCTTGGTTGCCTGAGTAGTAGTGGCAGAAAGCTCTCTGCTAGGCCTGAGGGAAGACCAGAATTCCTAGAGGACAGGATAGATTTTGATCTGATGAACAATTATTAAGGTAAACAGGGAAGAATCTAGATTTTTTTCTTTGAAGTGCCTTTGGTCTCTAACAAAGCACACAAGGCTCTATTCAACTAGCTGACAGAAGTTAATTAGCCCTTTACCCTCAGGGCCTGACCCTGCCCTCGGCTAGCTTTTAGTTTTACTGACCTTACATAAGTCCCACCTCCTCAGCCTCCAGCTGTTTCCTCTTATTTCCCCAGCTTCCCCTTTCTTCCCACCTCTCCTTTCACTTTCTCCCCTTTCATTCAGAAATGAATGCTCAGAAAGCAGACAGCAAGCGGTCAACCTAAGTCAGTGAAAACACTTCCTGAGCACCTGGTACAAAGACCAGAAACACACTGTGGGTGTTGGAATACAGAATACGCGTTATTTCTGCCTTTTAGCAGTTTACACTTAAAAGGAGAAAGGCACCATATACTTACTCCTCACAATGAAAAGATATTTTCAGGCCAATTTATTTATAATATGGGACCAAAAATATCCCTTAGTGATACCTCTTGGGAACAAGAGGATTGTTTGCATCGGAACTGATGACTTTTACTCCTACAGTAACTTTCCTACGGTCTCCTACATAGCACATCTAGTGAAACTGATGCTGAAGCCTGAGGAAGCCCCATGCATCTTCTATACACTTTTACTTAGTTGAGGCGTTACATCGAGACCATGCTGGCCAGGTGAAACCCCAACTCTACTAAAAAAACATAAAAATTAGCTGGGCATGGTGGCACATGCCTGTAATCCTAGCTACCCAGGAGGCTGAGGCAGGAGAATCGCTTGAACCAAGGAGTCGGAGGTTGCAGTGAACCAAGATCATGCCACTGCACTCCAGTCTGGCAACAGAGTGAGACTCCATCTAAAAAAAAAAAAAAAAAAAAAAAAAAAAAAAAAAAAAGAGAGAGAGAGAGAGAGAGAACAAGAAAATCACATGAAGAGTCCAAGTTGGTATTACAATGTGTGATTAGTCTTCTCCTGAGAAAACAGAAAATTCAGGTAAACTTGACTATTAGAGGGTAGGTTTGGGGTTTGTTATAGGGATCTCCTTAACAATGGCTTAGGAGTTTTGAGATAAAACTCCCGCGGGAAACAAGGAGGACAAAGGGGCACAAGTCCACATCTCAAATCAGTAGGTTACTCTTAACTTAGCCGTTTCTCCCAGTGGCTTGAAAAGCCTTGGTAAACTCCCTGTCCTCCATGTCAAATGGAGGGCACTCAGATCAACAGCTCAGATATAGCCAGCCCCACATTCAGGCTGTGCTGAGAATTCCAACCTAGAAAGATGTAGTGAAGATTTCCAAAGGCCAGCCAGGACACCCTTTTCAGCTCATAATTAATTTTAATCATCTTGAATACTAAACAAAGACCTCTCTAATGTGGACTTTCCTTAGAAAAATGGCTCATGTGTAGAATTATCCCAGAACTATAATGGAAGCATTAGTATTTCAGTAATTACTGAGCACCTACTAAATGCCAGGAGCTATGTTAGCCACTAGGAATACTTCTAAGAATCTTCTCTGGTGAAGAAACCAAGATTCGCAAAGAAATAATTATAAAACAGTTACAGACATTTGTACAAAATGCTTAAGGAGCACTAAGAAGGAAAATTTTAAAGGGCTATTTGTTCTATTTGTTTTCACATAAGTGATAGTTTTAAGACTGTAGATTACCAACTAGAGTTGCTGAATACAAAAACTGATACCTGAAAGGTTGTATATGTAGGCTAAATATAATGCAAACATTTTTATTGGAAACTGGGTTACCACATACTGGCTTTTAAAATTCATCTTCCTAGAGTGGGTAATTCTTGTGGATTTGTTACTAATACAAATGTAAGTGTATACTCAGCTCTCAACACAAATGCAGATGTTTTAAACATTTATCCATTCCCAGGTTCTTTTCTATGCTGGGTTTTGTTTGTTTGTTTGTTTGTTTTTGTGGGGCTGCTACATAGTTACTGAGTGGCTAGCCAGGCCCCAGCCACTGTGTGACCAGCTGTCCTCCTGTGGGGCCAGCAAAAGAGGGTAAGGGCTTCTCTGAGACCTGGCTGTGCACTGCATGCTGGAAAGCCAAGCTAGTCATCCCACTTTTTTGCTGCCAGGCTCTGGACTATGGCCACTGTGACTAGATGTAGTCCTACTCTAGAACTCTCAGCACTCAGGGTAAGAACATGGATCAAAGACAGCACCATGGGACACCCTGCTGGCATCTGGTAGATATGACAGGTGTTTTTTACTTGGTTCAGACTTTTCTCTCCCTGAAGCCTCCCAACTGGAAAAGGCAGGCTAGCTTTAAAAAGCAATGTAGTAGTAAAACAAAAAGAATTTCTCATCACAAGGCCAGGATTCAAGTTTTGGGCCTGCTGCTTTAACATCGCTGAGCCTATTTCCTCAAACTGCAAAATGAGACTAAGTACTACTTGAGCATTAAAATGAGCCCAAGTGCTTTATAAAAAGTTAGCTATCATTTTCATTAAGAAAGATCAGGACTAGGCACAGTGGCTAATACCTGCACTTTGAGAAGCCAAGGTGGGAGGACTGCTTGAGCCCAGGAGTTCAAAACCAGACTGAGAAACAGGGCAAAACCCTGTCTCTACAAGGAAAAAGAAAAATTAGCTGGACATGGTGGTGCATCTGTGTAGTCCCAGCTACTCAGGAGGCTGAGGTGGGAGGATCACTTGAGCCCTGGAGGTCAAGGCTTCAGTGAACTATGATGGCACCACTGCATGCCAGCCTGGATAACAGCGAGAGCCCGTCTCCAACAACAAAGATCAGGTATCTGTCCTCTGGCTTTGCATATTCCCTCAAAATAGTCCATTTAAAAAGGTAGCAAGGGCATAAACCTTTGAGGTTACTATTCTAAGAATATGCCTGATCTGACTGGAAGAACAGCATCTCAGATCTAAGCTATGTGGCACACCTGCCTAAGATTTCAATAATGTATTTATTCACAAACATTTGTTAAGGTACAGGTACTAGCATTCTGGGCATCTTGGAAGAAATGTCAAAGTTAAAAACAGCCTTTGCTCTCAGTTTACTATGTAGCTGAGGGAAACAAAACATACACGTGAAACTAGAGAGCAGCTTGGCCAGGCGCAATAACTCAGGCCTGTAATCTCAGCACTCTGGGAGGGTGAGGCGGGCCAATCACCTGACTTCAGGAGTTCAAGACCAGCCTGACCAACATGGTGAAACTCCCATCTCTACTAAAAATGCAAAAAGTAGCTGGGTGTGGTGGCAGGCACCTATAATGCAAGCTACTCGGGAGGCTGAGGCAGAATTGCTTGAACCCAGGAGATGGAGGTTGCAGTGATGAAGCCGAGATCACGCCACTGCACTCCAGCCTGGGTGACAGAGTAAGACTTCATCTCAAAACAAACACACACACATACACACACACACACACCAGAACAGCTTAAAGGCAAAATGTGAGTGCATGCACATGACACACTTTTAAAAACATGCTGAAAAGCAAAGCAGAAACAATGCAATTAGTTCAAGAACGCTCCAGTCATTAGGTGTGATCATGAAGGGGTGGAATTTCTAATGGTAAAAGGAATAGGGCTGCTTATGGGATTTAGAGTGTGGGGTGTTAAAATGGATGAATGTTGGGTCCCTTGGTTTTTAGAGAATTGTTTAAGCTAGCTGATCCTATAATCCTAAAGACCAGGGTCAAGGTCCTGAAGTAATGTTTAAGACTCCCAACTCAAGGAATAATATACATACTATCTAGTCTCTTCACAATAAATACATTATGTATTAATCCCTTTATGAAGAGTTACCAAAAAAAAAAAAGCCAACAAAATGATTCCATCCCATTGAATATGCAGGAATTATCATTGAGGCAGTACCACTGAATTCAGAGGCAACTTAAAGCCTCCTCTGTAATATGCATAAGAGAATGCTTGAAAAAGGACACCCAGGAGGCAACTGCTTCATCTTTTAGGAGACAATGCCATCAATTCTTGATGATCTGTATTAAAAGTGTACACAGCTAGGCTGGGCGCGGTGGCTCAGCCTGTAATCCCAGCACTTTGGGAGGCCGAGGCGGGTGGATCACGAGGTCGAGAGATCAAGACCATCCTGGTCAACATAGTGAAACCCCGTCTCTACTAAAAATACAAAAAACTAGCTGGGCATGGTGGCGCGTGCCTGTAATCCCAGCTACTTAGGAGGCTGAGGCAGGAGAATTGCCTGAGCCCAGGAGGCAGAGGTTGCGGTGAGCCGAGATCGCGCCATTGCACTCCAGCCTGGGTAACGAGAGCGAAACTCCGTCTCAAAAAAAAAAAAAATGTGTACACAGCTTACACCACCACATTTTTTACTTTGCAAGACCAATTCTGGAGGCAACATTTACTTTTCCAATTACACGTGGACTCAGGCTAGCATTTAAATTAGCTCAGATTTCCTGGCTTTACCTCTGAGGAGTTATTGGTATTAAAATACCTTCTCCAGTATTTCACCCAGTTAACGAACAGCTTGTGAAATAGACTTACAGTGCTTTGCTTTTAGGGAATACTTAGTTCTTTCCATCTTGCCAATCAATATTAAACTGTAGGCACTGCATTTAGCCCATTGGGAAATATGGATTCAAGTTCCTGGGTCTGTAGAGTTAAAAAATACATATATTTATGAAATCAACTGGGGCAGGGGAAGATGTGATTGAGAACAGGATAAACTGGAAAGGTAGAATATAACCCATTGTTGATTCATATTAAGGGAGTGACATGTTTTAGGAAGCTTTGACTTGATAGCCAGTGTGAAGACACTGAGTCACTAAAACCAGCTTTAACATTTCATTAATATGAATTTGAGTACAGACAAAAATGCTGACATGGTGATTGGAGATGGGAAGACAAATCCAACAACATTTGGAAGAACTCTATTTGGCAAGCAAACAAATCTATAGGTTATAATAGATGCAACAACACCCTGCAGACAAAATTTAACTATCGCCTTGCTGCAAATTTACTACTTTTGGAGTACAGAAGATCTATTTGAGTTTTCCTTGGAATGTTTGTTGCACTGCTAACAGTTTACATTTCTAGCCTTAAGATGTGGATGTCCTACAGGCGTGGTGGCTCATGTTTGTAATCTCAGCACTTTGGGAGGCAGAGGTGGGTGAATCACTTGAGGTCAGGAGTTTGAGACCAGCCTAGCCAACATAGTGAAACCATCTCTACTAAAAATACAAAAATTAGCTGGGCATGGTGGCAGGTGTAATCTCAGCTACTCAAAAGGATGAGGCAGGACAATAATCACTTTAACCTGGGAGGTGGAGGTTGCAGTGAACTGAGATTATACCACTCCACTCCAGCCTAGGCTAGAGTGAGATCCCATGCCAAAAAAAAGTGGATGTCATTCTTGGTGTTTAGTATTTTGTAGCTCAAATTTCTAGACATGCTACTATTTAGATAGAAAAGATTCACCAAGGACTTCCCGGTTCTACCTAAAGGTTATACCTTCCCTTTTGTTTGACTGATCCAACAGTCCATTTCTATGTATTAAGGCTTAATTGTTGTAACTTGAAAGTTTATCCCAAGATGACATATAAAGGCCCCTCTAATACAGAGCACCTAAGGGAACAATCTGCCATGGTTTTTGTTAGCACTTTTCTTTCTACAAAGATATTCTAAATTTTATTTGCACAGTATGTGGCTGCGGACTGTATTTTCAAGTTATTTAAAAATTATCAAAGGGATATTTTCTTATGCCAGCCAAGGTTGACAAAAATAAAAAAAAAAAATTATCAGGCCGGGTGCGGTGGCTCAAGCCTGTAATCCCAGCACTTTGGGAGGCCGAAGCAGGTGGATCACGAGGTCAAGAGATCGAGACCATCCTGGTCAACATGGTGAAACCCTGTCTCTACTAAAAATACAAAAAATCAGCTGGGCATGGTGGCGCGTGCCTGTAATCCCAGCTACTCAGGAGGCTGAGGCAGGAGAATTGCCTGAACCCAGGAGGCGGAGGTTGCGGTGAGCCGAGATCGCTCCATTGCACTCCAGCCTGGGTAATTAGAGCAAAACTCCGTCTCAAAAAATAAATAAAAATAATAAAATAAAATAAAGTAAAAATTATCAAAGGGACCAGAGCTAACATTTACAGGATCAAGGACAGGCTTCAATCTAGTTAGTGCCCTTTGAGCTGTCAATCCAATTTGCAACAAGGCTACTAGTTAACAGTAACCACCTTCTGTAGCCTTCCTTACTACATTGTTAACTTAGAGGCAGGGAAATCCCTACCGTGTAAACTTATTCCTCCCCGACCCCTCAACCAAGTAGGCCACTTTGTCCACTTTTAGTGCCTTATTCTTCTAAGTAGACCGATTTTCTAAATTAATGTTTTACGGCCAGTGGTCCAGTCCTACATCTGTCCTCTGGATGACTAAATCCCATCAAGGGGCCTAAAAGGTTTAGCATTCTCAATGATAATTTATACTTTAAACAGGAGACAAGTTTGTGTCCTTTCCCTTTTTTATAAAAGAAACCTGGGAAGAAATGGGTAATGGGAATGACAAATACAGTTAATTCTCAGTTAACTTTCAGTTGTTAATATGGCATTAACCATTGTGTGTACTGACTTTCTGATCACAAGATAACATGCTACTTGGGGCCTGGAAAATAGAAAACAGCTAAATTGACATATAAGTAGGATGTTAAGACAAACTTTAAGAACCTCTTAGTAATACTGAGAAAGATCATCACTCCTGAAACTGTCACACCATGAAAACAAACTACAGGTCTCTGAGAGCATATTCATTTCTTCTAGTTCATAACCAAATTGCTACACCTAGATTTTTTTTCTCCAGCACACCTAACTCCTGTTCTCAATTCTCACATTCATGGTCTTATTATTCCATAGCTGGACAAGATAGGCAGAGATACAAGCAGACTTGTGTCTTCCACATTTTTAGTCCCAGAACCCAGATTTATTTTTCTGTTACAAAAATCAGTACCTGTAAGGTAAACTCTACTGAAAACCTAAACAGATGCATAAGCTGAAAAGGAGAATTTTGCACAAAAGATGGGAAGACAACGGTAAAGTTACAAGAAAACTTACCCAAACCATCTAACTTTAGAGCTGATACAGAGGGTCAAGTTAGTTAGCTGGTGCCCACTGTTGTACATATTTACAGTAGGGATAGTTTCCTGCTTAATTTTGTGTTATAGCTCCCTCTGGTGGCTAAGCGATTTTCCCTAGCACTTAACTCCAATGGAGAGCAGTACAGTATGTTGTAAAATAAGACTTATTTCTACAAATTGTTTTCGTTCAAAGTGCATTTGGTGGGGATGAGTACAGCATCCTAGAGAGGCCGTTTCCACTATCTTCACATCCACAGTTCAGTAAGACAGTTCTACAAACTGTTTTTGTACAAAGTGCATTTGGTGGGGATGAGCATAGCATCCTAGAGGCTGTTTCCACTATCTTCCTATGTCCACAGTTCTACCAATAGTGGACAGACACTTACAAAGTTGTATGGTGACAAAAGTTTGAGGCTTTTTAACCTGATGCTTGAGTTTTTGTTTTGTTTTGTTTTGAGACGGAGTTTCGCTCGTTACCCAGGCTGGAGTGCAATGGCGCCATCTCGGCTCACTGCAACCTCTGCCTCCTGGGTTCAGGTAATTCTCCTGCCTCAGCCTCCTGAGTAGCTGGGATTACAGGCACACACCACCATGCCCAGCTAATTTTTTTGTATTTTAAGTAGAGACGGGGTTTCACCATGTTGACCAGGATGGTCTCGATCTCTTGACCTCGTGATCCACCCGCCTCGGCCTCCCAAAGTGCTGGGATTACAGGCGTGAGCCACCGCGCCCGGCCCAATGCTTGAGTTTTATCTCCTTTTATCATCCAGCTGAACTAGGTGTTGTTTTGCTTACCTAAATAGTAAATTTATGTAAAGTCATGTAAGACTTTTCACTCCCTGAAATCCCAGCCTAGCATCTATTAAAATGTTATAAATTACAAAGGTTATATCTGCCTAAATTAACTTCCATATGACAAAAACTCATTTATTCAATTTTTATTCTGTGCACTAATGATGCATGGGAGTTCTTATAATAATAATAAAAAAATCCTTCTCTTGATCACTACAAGCTGACAACCACCCTAAGGGTTGTTAGGCATTAGCTTTCAAAGCTACCAAGAAGCACTCCAAAGGTCTCAATCACAGGAGTTAAGTACTGGCTTAAGTACACTATAATCTCTTGGGGTTTATGTTTAAAGCAAAAGTTCCTTTGCCAGCACTATTATTTATTCAATTGACAATCACAATAGACACAATGAACAGATGTTTCCTTGTAATCTCTTTACTTCATGCCAATCCCAGCTTTTCCTATAGGATCTCATTGATCAATGTTCCTTCAAGTATTAATACAGAAACCATTACCTCAAAAGAATGTTGTACACTCTAGGATGGCCAAGTATTTGCTTCAATAGGATTAACTGTTGAGTCCACTATTACAACAGAATGTAAAAAAAATGTGGGTCATACCTTTTTTTCTTGTGGCTGCTTCAGCCTAAAAAGATGTGGGAACTTAAAATTCAATCAATAAAGGATTCACAACAGGTTTTTCAGTCAAGATACCCCAATTAAGATGAAAGCATTAAGCCTGTGTATGCTAGTACAGTTCCTATAATCCCTTATACAAACTCTTTGGGGACAGACATACCTTGGATTCAGAGCTATATGCACTTTGTAAGATACATATATACTCGTATTAAACAACACCCTCAGCAAAGTCTGTGGCAACTGTGCAATGCATAATGAAGTACAACAGGAAACAGTTTAGTCACACTAAGTGCAAAATGAAGGCATCAATTCTAGTCAGGTTTCACATTTAATTAGCTCAACAACAGAAAATCTTTTCAGTTTTGTTTGGATTTCAGAAAATGGGTAAGAGACTGTAATCTGTTTTCTGCATTTGCACTCTTCATACTGTGATGGAAATAAGTCAGAGTGGTTATGTTACAACAGAACTTCAGTCTAACAGTTTTTCATCTTTTAATACTATTTGTGGTAAATACATATATATATATATATATATATAACTTACTTGCAATTTAAATTACAAAATTCATATACAAAGTAAGCAAAAAGGCACACATAAGAAATTCACCTTGACCACAGAAATGTGAAAACACCAGCCCTAATGAGCAAGACAATGTTTCAAAGACAACACCGAGAAAAGTTGAGATTCTACAATAAATCATATTAAATGCAAACACTATGATGTGCAGACGTGAGCACTCAACATTATTTACTGAAGCACAGAACTTAAGAAAAAACCGTTTTAAATGAGGGGAATCTATTCACATTCCAAATAACGTTTTTAAAAATATTAAACTTAGTTTTAGAAACAAAATTCAGATCCCAAACAATCAGGAACCAGAAAATGGGTTTCTTACCTTTTGTTTCCAGTAGGATGTGGGCTGAACAGCAAGGTGGGTTATTCAATCTGATGTTATGAAAAGCAATTGCTTCTTAAAGAGACTTAAGTTTTTCCTTGGTTAGAAAATAATTATAGGCTCCCTACAATATTCTAAGGGGACATAAATAGGGAGAAGAGGAAAGTCCAAGACAGCTTTTGAGTTTCAAAAGGGTGTAACTTTCTTCTAACAATTGCCAATACGGATAGAGACCTAAAGGTCCACTATAAACAGGAGCAGTCCATACTTCCCATCACAGCTTTTAGCCATCTGCTCATCTTAACTACAAAATCTATGCCCCTTTACCTTTCATTAACAAACACTGTCCTATCCATAGAATATTCAAATACAGCCTATATAACATGGAGTATTTTCTCTTTCAATTTGAGGTTAGAATTACTCTTTTAGTAGAGCACATCTTTCAACTTAAAACATTCACAAACTTGAGTGAAGGTCATTTACATATTTTGGTTGTTTCTAAAACATCCAATGAACACAAATAACCAAAGTTTGCTTAAGCCTAGCTCACATTTACCTTTCCAAATTATTAATCATTTATTTTCCCTTTAATCTGATGAATTTCTAAAATGTTCTACACATGAAACAGAACTTAGAACTTCAAGAATGTCATGTAAAATTATTCAAATTTTAAACAGTAAATCTTTCTGCCTTTTGGCCATTATATTGAATTCTTACATAAAAAGAGCTACATCCTTAATACATTTACACTAAGTGCTTTACTTAGTGACTAATTCTGCATTGAACTTAGCATCCCCTTACTGACATTCCACAAGGTTCATCATAATCTACTGGCTGGGGTGACCTCACACAAATATCTTAGAGTCCCTTTCTTTCACTACTAAGATTATTTCTAATTTTCCCTAGGTTTTGAATTGTCACCTGAATAATCACCTTAAATTCAGCTTTCAACTATAATTAGCACCCAAGGGAAACGTAAAGTCTAGTTATTTTGGGTGCATAAGAGTGATTTGATGGTTGTGACTAGTTAGGAAATGAGATTTTAGGTCCCTTCCCCCAAGGGGCTGTCAGTAGACAAATACAAAAAGCAGCAGACAACAAGTTTTAACAACTGCTTTGGTAGAGAACACCGAAGTTTCAGGTACAAAATAATCTTATGGTTGAGAACGGCTTATAAGGCAATTCTAAATGCCCAGCTTTTTTACTAGCAACGATTCATCCAAATAAGTTAATCTTGTGCACTCTTCCTTTCAAAAAAGAAATGACTTGTGTTAAAAGTTCCACAGGCCAAGCTCGGTGGCTCACACCTGTAGTCTTAACAGAGGTGGGCAGATCACTTGAGGCCAGGAGTTTCAAGTCCAGCCTGGGTAACATGAAGAAAACTCATCTCTGCTAAAAACACAAAATTAGCTGGACGAGGTGGCACACACTTGTAATCCCAGCTACTCGGGAGACTGAGGCAGAAGAATCACCCAAACCCAGGAGGCGGAGGTTGCAGTGAGCCCAGATCACACCACTGCATTCCAGTCTGGGCAATAGAGCTAGACTCTCTGCCTCAAAAACAAAAACCAGTTCTAATAATACATCTGTGCTGATGTTAACATTTAATACTTACCTTTTTTTGAGCTGAGTTTGAGAATATCAAAACTATCTCCAAGTGAACATTAATTTACCAGCCATCAACCAATTTTGCACAAAAGCCTGCTGCCTATATGACTACCAGAAAATATGCAGCATCTGTAGTTTTTAAATCACTTTATAACAAAGTAGAGAAGCTTATGTTTCAGATGCTAGATCCACCCCCCACCATCATTTACCATGTTACATATACAAATGCCTTATTCCCCTTTTGCCTTCCCCTGAAGACTTTTACAATTAACAATAAAAGATAGCTAATACCATTAGATTGCCTTTTAAGAACTTTTAATTTGCTAACATATAAACACAAGAGTCAAAATCTTATCTTACTTAACAATTTAAAGATTAACTGATAGACCCAGTTAGAATCTTACATGAAGAGGAAAAAGGACAACCATGCATAGTTTTTTAAAAAATGTTTATTTTTTCAAAGAAAAATGGCAATAGCCAATTGGAAACCTACTTATTCTTCAACTCCAATTTTGTTTTCTTTAAATTTAGAAGTGACTTACTGATTTACTATTTTAAACAAACCCCCCCTTTCCCCTTTAAATGTTTACCATCTACTCGTGCTGAATCCTTCCAAGGAGATTGCTCCAGCGTTTATCTCCAGGTCCTCGCTTTGCTCCTTTTACCAAAAAATGCAAAACACAATTCCATCGTGCATCTTAAGGGCTCCAATCGTCAAAAATAGGAAAAAAAAAATCTTTGGAATAGCCAATTAAGTTGAATAAAAAAATCCACACGAATGCGGTTTGGTTGGGGCAGGAATCCACTCCTATGTTCCTGGTAATCTGATCCCGCTCCATGAATCCTGGTAATTCATCCTCCCTATCCTATCCACATTATGATTTGAATCCAATGATCCAGCTCCAAGGATTGGGATCCAGTGAGCCCTCTCCAATCCAAACCTTTATAACCAGCAAAACCAAAAAAGAGGAGGCAAAACGTTAGATACTGTAATCAAAAAAGGTTTCTGGGGAATGATGAGTTATGTCAGTCATCAGTTTAACAGATGCACATCAATAACTATCAAATTCCCCAAAACAAGTTTCTGAATGGTGTTCAGATAAATTTTAGAAACTTAATCATTATAGAGACTAATTGGAAGAAGCATCTTATATTTACAGTTCAACTGATAATGCCAACACTTGTTACTGTACAGCGTATTACAGGTTTCGTGGTTGCAAGAAGTTATGTAATTTAAGTTTACTGGCATTGCTACCCACCTAAGTCTAAAACTAAATCTAATGCTCCCATTTGCAATTTAATTTGTAAATTAAAGTGTTTTAAACATATGAATCAATTATGAATATTAAAGGGGAAGGTGAGACCTAAGTATTCCCAACTAGATTATCTACACCAATACATTGGAACTCTATTATTTTGCTTTCATTTTGTCTTAAAAAAATGAAATAGCAACGCTCTATCAGTCACACAGAGGACATGCAGATTTAGCAGTATTGATATTATACTCTATCTTGTTGGATTTAAAGACACCCTGTACCCACATGTACACCAACAGCAGGTCACACATTAACAGTTGTAACTAAGCACTGTGACAAATTAGCCAGTTCTTCCCACATTAGTCCCTATTATAACAAAAATGGGGGGAAGGGAGCAAAATAAGTTGCTACAAAATGGGCAACATAATTTCGCCACAATTGCCAAGGTTTAAAGAGCACAGCAATTGTAGCTAAAGATAACTGAATAAAACATTCAAATGTTTTAAGGAAAATGTATATAATCATTTTTACCCCCTGCCTTTTAGTATAAGGTCAATACTGCCAATTTCATCTGTGACAATAGCACTTGGAGTCATACCATTGCCTCCATTATTGATCTGATCCTCCTCAATCCTCCTTTTGACAATCCTAAAATGATTGAAATGTGCTCCACAATCCTTAATCCAAAGCATTCTTAATCCATCTCTTCAGATATGTCTACAGAAAGACACATGAAAAGCAAGATAAACATAAGAACTTCCCCAGGTAAGATAACCACAAACACCCCCAACATCCCAGTTCACACAAATCAGGGCAGAATAGACATTTACACAATATCACAGTCTGAAGAGTATGGAGTTAACTAAATTTAAACAATCCTGTCTATGACATCACTTAAAATACAATTTATCAAAGACACGAGGGGAATGTAGATGTTAGGAGCAAAGGGGTATTACAAGAAAGCAATTCAACACTTTAGCCCATTCTGAACAAAAACAGTTTGAATTAAAAAATGAAAAGATTGTACTGAATAAAGGAAAACTGTATACAACATGGGTTCTACAAAAAGTGTCACCAATCATCTTATGTACGAGAGCGAGATCTGCTATGACGGGGAGAATAGCGTGGTGATCCTCTGCTTCTCCTTGGGGAGTAACTGCGACTCCTGCTGTTGCTTCTGCTACGGCTTCTGCTACGACTACGGCTTCGAGATCGAGATCTTCCATAACTTGGACTTCTGGGCCCATCAACTTTAACCCGGATGTAGGCAGTTTCTCCCTATTGGATAGACAGAACTTTCCATTGAAAGATCTAAGCTTTCACCTAGCTTCAGGCATGCTGAATGAATACAATGTAACTAAAACCAGAAATCTGGTAATTTACTTGGACTCCCTTGCCTGAATCCTTACCTTCAAATTCCACTGTTAAGACCACTGTATCCAATTCTGGTCAAAAAAAAGAATAAGTGCATAACCTACCTCATGGGATCTAAACTTAGTGTTATCCAGTTTTCGAACTGCATAGGTCATATCTTCTTTCCGTACAAACTCCACGACACCAGTGCCATCTCGGTAAACATCAGCATAACATACATCACCTGCTTCACGCATGTGATCCTTTAAATCCTGCCAACTTCCACTTGGAGGCAGTCCTGAAAAAGTGATTTTTTTCTTCTTAGTATCAATTATCTTAAATTTCACGTTAAGCTGATAAGGTACATTAGGACAAAGAGTACTTTAAAATACTTAATAGTTGTACTTAAGTGATACCAGGTAAAGAGCTGGTAAGATTCTGGAATCCAGAGTCCAAAATTATTTGTAACGGATCTTCGTGTCTAGTACCGCAACCTAATTTGGTAAATCACCACAGCAGCAATCCTCGTTTATTAAATTCACCCAAAAACTAAAGCAATTTAAGACCTAGCATGAAAAATTTGCAATTGTTAAACCGGTCACGCAAGAGAAAATTTTTAAGTAGCTTCCGTCCCTTCACATCGACCGCACAACCAGTAAACTTACCGGAGACAACCACTCTGTTTTCAGACCGCCTGGATGGGGGGCCGTAGCGACCTCGCGGAGCTCCGCCACCTCCACCCCCGCCGCCTCCTCGGCCTGTTCCACGGCCGCTTCGAGGAAACTCCACCCGCAGACGATATCCATCGTAATCATAGCCGTCGCGACCATACACCGCGTCTTCCGCGTCCCTGCGGGATCGTAGAGAGTAAAAGGCATGAGAAACCAGGAGGAGACGATCGCTCAGTCGGGAACCAGCGAACCCCCCGCACATGCGCACCCGACGTGGAAGAGCCCACATGCGCCGCATAATGGGAATGGCCCCTCCCCCACCCAGAAACACGCCAGGCTCCCAGCCACTACACCAGCCCTCAGCGCCTCAGTTTCCCGCTCCAGCCTGCGAATGGGCTCCGGGGACGTCCAAGGCGAGGCGCCAGAGAAGCCACACCAACTCAGCTCCTCACTCGACTCCTGCATGGGCGATACGGTCTCGCCCCAACCTCGCTAAGAGCCCCCCGCCTCCCCGTTCTCTCTGTTAAGGCCTTGGAGTCTTCCCCGACTACTCGGACCTATTTCCTCAAGGCTGCAAGCCCCATGCCGCCTCACCGCGGGTCCTCGAACTCAACGAAGGCGAAGGGCGGTCCCCCGCGGCGATTCTTGAGGTCGATGTCGCGGATAGCGCCGTATTTGTAGAACACGTCCTCAATGTCCTTGGTTCGGATGTCTGGAGGTAAGTTACCCACGTAGATGCGGCAATCGTTGTTCCCTGCGGGGCCACGAATCACACCACCTCCCGACATGGCGGCGACGAAAAGCGCGGACTCGAGAACAGGCCTTCCCACCAAGCCTAGCGCACAGCAGAGCGAGCCCGCAGCGGCACCACGTCTCCCGCGGCCCCTCCAAAATGGCGCCTTTATCAGCTCGGCGCACGGATATGGGGGGGAGACAGAGGAAGAGAAGCGGAAGGAAACAGCGATTCGATTCCAACACGCACGCGCGGGAGCGCAACGGGATGCTGCGAAGACTACGCTCAACGCACGCGCACGCACGCGCGACGTCACCCTCCGCACGAAGGGGAAAAAAAAGTCCCCCGCTTTCCCGGCTTGGGGTGGTTTGCGAATAGAGGGACTAGCCGTTTGGTAAAAGTTAAATAAAGAACTCTCGCCAAAGGAGCTAGTCTTCCAGGTCGGGTCTTGAAGGACAGTCAATTTCCCCAGGAATGAGGATCTCTGAAAGCAACTCGGCGCCTTGAAAGGACTTGGTGAAACCTAGCCTAGAGCCTTGTCCCACCATGCTCTGCGGCGATAACTGCCTTTGGCGGGAAAGAGCCTCGGGGGCGGGGCCAAAGGGGGAGGGACCGGGCGGTTGCTCCGGAAACCCAGGCATCCTTGAGAGTCTAGTTCCGAGCTGAGTTGCCGTTGGCGAGCTGGGGCGTTGGTTAGTCTTCCCTCCCCTCCTGCGGACAGAGCGTGGCTGCTTAGACAATTAGATTTGTCTAATTTAGCAAAACCGATTTCGATTCCTAAATAAATCCTCTTCCCCAGAAGTACCGTTCCACCTTCTGGTCAGAACTTTGCATAGCTCAGTTCAGCACTCCTTGTGCTAGTCGCGGTGGGTGGGTAGTACCCCGACCGGCAACCTGGGACTAGCCATCCGGAGCGGACGAAAACACCGTACCGCCTCTGGGACCCACACCTCGGTGTCTCTTGGTAATCGCCTATCCGTGGGACTAGCGCAGAAGACTTGCAAAATTAATTGTTTCTGTTGTTTTCTTTCAAATAACGAGAAGGAAGAAGGGGTGCCTGTGTGCAGTCCTGGTTTCAAAAGTTTTCCCCAAAAGGTACTGATACACCAGCTTTTGAAACTGCCAGTCCTCTCAGCTAATAAAATGGAGCAAAGTGGATGTGAGAACCGTAACCACTAGAGACCGTGGTTGCTACTCAGGACTGTGATCCTACTTGCCTGCAGTCTTAGGAGATAACTTTTTTTTTTTTTTTTTTGAGACGGAGTTTCGCTCTTGTTACCCAGGCTGGAGTGCAATGGCGCGATCTCGGCTCACCGCAACCTCCGCCTCCTGGGTTCAAGCAATTCTCCTGCCTCAGCCTCCGGAGTAGCTGGGATTACAGGCATGTGCCACCATGCCCAGCTAATTTTTGTATTTTTAGTAGAGACGGGGTTTCACCATGTTGACCAGGATGGTCTCGATCTCTTGACCTCGTGATCCACCCGCCTTGGCCTCCCAAAGTGCTGGGATTACAGGCTTGAGCCACCGCGCCCGGCCAAATCCTGGGATTTTTAAGGTAACCAATTCAAATTAAAATCGGGCTGGGCGTGGTAGCTCACGCCAGCCCTTGGGCGGGCTGGCGGGTGGGTCACATTGAAGTTAGTAGTTCAAGACCAGCTTGGCCAACATGGTGAAAACACATCTCTGCTTAAAAAATAAAAAGCCAGGCGTGGTGGCGGGCGCCTGTGATCCCAGCACTTTGGGAGGCCGAGGCAGGCCGACAGATCAGAAGATCAGGAGTTTGAGGCCAACCTGGCCAATGTGGTGAAAGCCCACCTCTACTAAAAATACAAAAATTAACTGGGCATGGTGGCGCGTGCCTGTAGTCCCAGCTACTCAGGAGGCTGAGGCAGGAGAATCACTTGAACCCAGGAGCAGAGGCTGCAGTAAGCCGAGATCGAGCCACTGTACTCCAGCATGGGCAACAGAGTGAGACTCCATCTCAAAAAAGAAAGAAAAGAAAAGAAAAAGAAAAAAAATCAGTTTGAAATAAGCGGGAATGCTTGGTCTTGTGTCTGTGGACCCTCAATATATGCACAGATGACCTTCGGTAGTCGAACTTTCTGTAATATTTTCCAAAATTATATGCATGTGTACATCTACAAAAATACTATGCATGTGTGTACTTTTTTCTAGGAAGAGGATTTGAAATTTTAATCCAATTCTTAAAGGAGTCCATAGATCCCAAAAGGGAAAAGAACTGTGTGTGTGTATGTGTATGTGTATGTATACATATATACCTATATATATTTTGTGTGTGTGTGTGTGTGAGAGAGAGAGAGAGAGAGAGACAGAGACAGAGACAGAGTTGCCTTCTGTCACCCAGGCTGGAGTGCAATGATGTGATCTCAGCTCACTGCAACCTCTGCTTCCCTGGCTCAAGCCATTCTTGTGCCTCAGGCTTCCAAGTACCTAGAATTACAGACATGTGCCACCATACCCAGCTAATTTTTTGTATTTTTGGTAGCTGGGATTACAGGCATGAGCCACCATGCCCAGCTAATTTTTGTATTTTTAGAAGAAACGGGATTTCGCCATGTTGGCCAGGCTGGTCTCGAACTCCTGGCCTCAAGTGATCCACTGGCCTCAGCCTCCCAAAGTGGTGGGATTACAGGCATGAGCCCCTGAACCCGGCCTTTTTTTTTTTTTTTTGAGACAGGGACTTGCTCTGTCATTCAGGCTGGAGTGCAGTGGTGCAATCACAGCTCACTTCAGCCTCAACCTTCTGGACCCAAGCGATCTTCCCACCTCAGTCTTCTAAGTAGCTGGAACTACAGCTACAAAAAATACAAAATCACTACAAAAAATACAAAAATCAGTCTGAAGTGGTGGTACAGGTATGTACCACCACTTCAGACTGATTTTTGTATTTTTTATAGTGATGGGGTCTTACCATGTTACCTAGGCTGCTCTCGAACTCCCGAGGTCATGTGATCCTCCCGTCTCAGCCTCCCAAAATGGAGGGAACTACAGGTTTGAGCCACTGTGCCTGGCCAGGGCCAGAGCCTGATTTTTTTTGATGAGATGACCAAAAAAGATACTATTTAAACAAATTTACTGTTTCTAGCATTGTTCCATTAAGTGAGTGGCAGAAAAGAGGAGAGTTCTTAAAAACTTGCAGCCTGTTGATTCTTTTATTCAACAGTTATTTGCTGGACACATTTTCTTTCTGTTCTTTTCTCCATCAATTTAAATTTATACAGGCAAATCTTATGTTAATAATAAGCCAATAGTAACTGAAGTGATAACTGAAATCAGTAGTTTATAATTGGATAGTTCATTTTAAGAAGGGATGAAGGGCCGAGTGTGGTGGCTCCCGCCTGTAATCCCAGCACTTTGGGAGGCCGAAGGGGGTAGATCACAAGGTCAGGAGTTTGAGACCAGCCTGGCCAACATGATGAAACCCCGTCTCTACTAAAGTTACAAAAAATTAGCCAGATGGACCCCTGTAATCCCAGCTACTCAGAAGGCTGAGGCAGGAGAATCACTTGAACCTGGAAGGCAGAGGTTGCAGTAAGCAGAGATCGCGTCATTGTACTCCAGCCTGGGCGACAGGGTGAGACTTCATCTCAAAAAAAAAAAAAAAAAAAAGAAGGGATGAGACAATACACATAGGTACTTTTAAGGTATTTTCATTCCTGACAAATATAATTGAATTTGCTTTTTTTTTTTTTTTTTTTTTTTTTGGCGATGGAGTCTTGCTCTGTCACCCAGGCTGGAGTACAGTGGCAGGATCTTGGCTCACTGCAACTTCCTTCTTCCAGGTGCAAGCAATTCATGCCTCAGCCTCCCCAGTAGCTGGGACTACAGGTGTGTGCCACCACACCTGGGTAATTTTTGTATCTTTAGTAGAGATGAGATTTCACCATGTTGGCTGGGCTGGTCTCGAACTCGTGACCTTAAGTGATCTGCCCACTTTGGCTTCCCAAAGTGCTAGGATTACAGGCATGAGCCACCATGCCCAGCCTGAATTTGCTTTGATTTCTTGTCCATCTAATTTAACACAGTCATTTCTCATTTTGTTCAGTTCAGCAGAATACAAAATAGAACTTAATTGAGAGTGAACAGGACATTCTTATTTCTCTATTGGCATCTTTTTTTTCTATTTGAATGTAACCAACTGTTCAGGAGTTGATGATAAGGTCAGTATATGGCAGGAAAAGTCTTGACAGCTGTTTTATCAGGTCTCCCAGGATGGCAGTTAACTTGGTGATGATTACAATTAAGGCTGTTACCAGCTGTCCAGAGTTAACATATTTCAGCTCACAAGAGTAAAACATCAAAAAAGCAAATAAACAAGGGGGCCGGGCGCGGTGGCTCAAGCCTGTAATCCCAGCACTTTGGGAGGCCGAGGCGGGTGGATCACGAGGTCGAGAGATCGAGACCATCCCGGTCAACATGGTGAAACCCCGTCTCTACTAAAAATACAAAAAATCAGCTGGGCATGGTGGTGCGTGCCTGTAATCCCAGCTACTCAGGAGGCTGAGACAGGAGAATTGCCTGAACCCAGGAGGCGGAGGTTGCGGTGAGCCGAGATCGCGCCATTGCACTCCAGCCTGGGTAACAAGAGTGAAACTCCGTCTCAAAAAAACACACACACAAAAAAACAAAAAAGTAAATAATGTATTTGGAAATAAGAACAAAACAAGGTGAATCATTTTGAGGGATATTTCATTCAGATCATGGTGATACTTGATAAATGATCACTGCCCCACCACGAAGTATTTCTCTCAAAGACAGGAAAATTCATAGCCTATGGATTCTGTGTGTCTCTGTTCCTTGCACAATGCTGGGTAGACTGGCAATTCTCTTTCTACAGGCTAATCTTCACACCTTTCTTTAAACAGTATACTAGATGGTTGATTGCTTTTGTGATGAGCAAATTACACCCACTCTGGTTTTGCCCCCTAAGATTGCATCCTCATCTTAATTGGAGTTTGAGGATTTTCTAAACTCCTTAGTTATACATTCACTGGTAATTTTATGGATTGCTTTCACCAACCAGCTGATTTAGTAAGTATGGACTTTACCAACTTCACTGTTGGAAGCAACCTAATTTTTAACTCCAAGAGAAACTTTTAAAATACTTTTGATTCAATCCAGTAATCTCAGGAGGAGACTTTTCAAAAGTTCATGGAAAATGCATATTATGAATAAATCATGCATGGATTTCAAAATTGTTTTACACCAAAATAAACTCATACTAACTTGTTATAGCATGTATGAACAGGAACTAGTTTGAGGTACTAAGGAGGATAAGACATATGTTTGAAAAGAGCCCCTATCAAAGCAACATGTACTCTGCTAAAATTGAAGCAAGGACAAACATCAAAGTTATGGTGAACCTTTGGTGAAAGAATGATGAAATCATTAATTCTTTACAAAAAGGTTATGGGCACAATGCCTCAAAGAAATCAGTATTTTATAATTGGAGAGTTCATTTTAAGAAAGGATGAGACAGTGTTGAATAGGAAGCCTGCAGTGTTGAATAGGCAGACAACCCACAGCAGTTTGCAAGGAAACAATTAAGCTTGTCTTGCTTGAAGGAAATAATGTATACAGTGGTCCATTTCCAAGACAAAATGCCTTACCTTGGCTTAGGTCAGCAAACTACAGAAGAAACGGGACATACTAGGCCCCTGCTTGGATAGCCAATACTTGCTTCTCAGTCTCCCTCTTCCTCCCACATTTTTTTTCCCTCTTAGTTGCCTTTACCCAAACTAAAAAAGTGTAGTCTAAAATGAAAGTTTGCTAGTCTGCAAAATAGCTCACTTTGTCTGCTTTTATCAGCCTGCCCAGCTACTTAGGTCATAAGCTAAACACTTGAAGAGCACCTGAGCTAACTAGGATTGCAATGCATTATGGGCTGCAATAAAATGCAGCAAGACAACCCTAAAAAAAAAAAAAAAAAAAAAATCTAAAACCCCTGCCTAATAATCAATAG